CACCAGCCGCTGGAGCCCCAGCACTCCCCGGTCTTGCAGCAGATCTCGTCGTAGCTGTGGCAGCCCGTGTACAGCCGGGCTGGGTGGCTCCGCTCGTCCCGGGTCACCTTCACCGGGTATTTCTGGAGCCGCCGGATAAGGCCCTTCATCAATCCAAACTGGATCAGCCTCCTGGGGACAAAGCGAGGTGTGACTGGGACCACAACGCTGAGGTGTCAAACCCTCTGCTACCCGCGATCCCCATCTGGTTCCACACACCGCTGCCTCAGTTTCCCTACCCCACAGAGTAGGGAGTATGAATCACATACTCTGTCCTTACTCCCCGCCCCCGCCACCCCAGTGCCACTGCCACCCTTAGGGACCGAGCAGGAGGGTTCTGGCTCCAACCTCTCGTCCACCCTCTGGAGCTGCAGGGTGTAGCGGGAGATGAGGTCTCGCACCGTGGTGCCAGGGCTCAGCCCGCAGTACAGCTGGAATACATCCCTGAGGCTGGCTCGCTTGTGCCCTGCAGGGAGAAGTCACCAGTCAGCCACCCTCACCCTCTGCTGGCAGCCCAGCACCGCGTCACCTTACCTTGTTTGGTGACATAGGACAGGCACTCCTCCTGGAGACACTTGTCATCCACCAGGTCCTGGACCTTCGGTGTGGTGCAGTAGACATTGGAGTACTGGAGGGCAAGGGAAAGGCAGCGCTGCTCAGCCACAGAACCTAGAGACAGACTCACCCACCCTGAACCCCACTGTCCTTCTTGTGCCACCATCCCAATGTCCGAATCCCACTGGCAGCCCCACACTCCATGACCTGACCCACCTGCAGAATGGAGACGAGTGTGACCACCCCGTAGTACCTGTAGATGGAGAGGCAGAAAGGTGAGAGAGTCTCCAGCAGACCCCCCCACCCTCAGCAGGCTGGGCAGGCTCCCCCCACACTCACAGCAGGTTCTGCACAGCAATGCGCACCAGGTTCAGCTCCACGTCTGCTTCTGCTGAAATCTTCTGGACGTGCCGAAAGCCGTCGATGTAGGGCAGGATCTAGGAGGGCAGGAGGAAAGAGCTGGGAGGAGAGAGAGCAGGGAAGCCCAAGGCACCACCCTGAAGCTCCCACAGCATCTGGGAGCATGCTGGGATGTGTGGGCTCCATCCCCAGCAGCAGGTCACCCCCACATTGGGTGAACAGGTTGCTCACAGACTTGAGCACAAATATACAGAGAGCACCAAACCATGCTCATTAATGTGGTGACCTCTGGGACAGTCCAACCCCTCTCTGCCCCCAGGAAGGCTGGCAACAGATCCTGTTTAAACCATTCTGCCCTGGTCAAGCACACAAACCTGCTGCGTGGTGAGATCCCATTGGGAATTGAAGAAGTCATCCTTGTCCTGGGTGAAGACAGGGACATCGTACTCCTGCACGATGGGGGGGTCCGGGCGCTGCTCAATCACCTTCAGGTGGATGGTGTTCGACTCATCTGGCCAGGGATAAGGGAGTGCTCAGCCCCCACAGACACCTCTGCTCCCTCAGGAGCTTGTGACCATCAGCCTCAGGACACCCCCAAGTAGCATGGAGGAAGGAGTTTGCAGCCCGTAGCTCCAACCCTCCCGGCCCTTCGAGACACCCAGGGCAAGGCTGGCTCAGGTGGCCTCCAGCTCCCAGCACAGCAAGGCAGGGGCTGCCAGGAACAGAGCAGGCAGAGCCCACCTGGGCAGGGAACAGCCCAGGGGTCCTCAGTGTCACCCTGCCCTGCTCCTGCCCTGGCTGATGCCGTACCTATGGGCAGGGTGCACTTTCCTTTGGCGTTCAGCTCCTCCAGCAGGATGGTCATGATGGGAACCAGCTTTTGTTTGCTCTCCTCATTGGAGATGAAGCCGCTTTCCAGCTAAAGAGAGCAGAAAATCCAGTCAACTCCTCCCCAGGGGATTAAGGGCTAAAGGAACCACACCTTGCATCCCATCATCCCTTAAACTTCAAGTGACACCACCACAATCCCCTCCTCGCTGTAAACCTGGCCTTGACCCCAGCAATGTCCAGGGATCCACAACATGTGCCAGGACACCAGTGACCCTGCAGGGCAGGTGGTGAGGCTGCCAGTGTCCCCCCGGGCCTCACCTCCAGGGTGGTGAGGTAGCCAGCCAGCTTCTTCACGATGGGCTCCAGGGCACAGGCCTTGGCTCTGGCATCGCACACGAAGCCCAGGTTGAAGAGCAGGCCTTGTCGGCTGTATTTCTTGTGCTCAATACAGACAGGGCAGCCAATCAGCTTCTTCTCCATGGCTGTGCTGCACGAGACAAAGGTAACCTGCACCTACACCCCCAGGCAGACCTGAGCCCAGCACAAGGCCCGTTCCCAGGCACCACGTCTGCTTCTGCTGAAATCTTCTGGACGTGCCGAAAGCCGTCGATGTAGGGCAGGATCTAGGAGGGCAGGAGGAAAGAGCTGGGAGGAGAGAGAGCAGGGAAGCCCAAGGCACCACCCTGAAGCTCCCACAGCATCTGGGAGCATGCTGGGATGTGTGGGCTCCATCCCCAGCAGCAGGTCACCCCCACATTGGGTGAACAGGTTGCTCACAGACTTGAGCACAAATATACAGAGAGCACCAAACCATGCTCATTAACGTGGTGACCTCTGGGACAGTCCAACCCCTCTCTGCCCCCAGGAAGGCTGGCAACAGATCCCGTTTAAACCATTCTGCCCTGGTCAAGCACACAAACCTGCTGCGTGGTGAGATCCCATTGGGAATTGAAGAAGTCATCCTTGTCCTGGGTGAAGACAGGGACATCGTACTCCTGCACGATGGGGGGGTCCGGGCGCTGCTCAATCACCTTCAGGTGGATGGTGTTCGACTCATCTGGCCAGGGATAAGGGAGTGCTCAGCCCCCACAGACACCTCTGCTCCCTCAGGAGCTTGTGACCATCAGCCTCAGGACACCCCCAAGTAGCATGGAGGAAGGAGTTTGCAGCCCGTAGCTCCAACCCTCCCGGCCCTTCGAGACACCCAGGGCAAGGCTGGCTCAGGTGGCCTCCAGCTCCCAGCACAGCAAGGCAGGGGCTGCCAGGAACAGAGCAGGCAGAGCCCACCTGGGCAGGGAACAGCCCAGGGGTCCTCAGTGTCACCCTGCCCTGCTCCTGCCCTGGCTGATGCCGTACCTATGGGCAGGGTGCACTTTCCTTTGGCGTTCAGCTCCTCCAGCAGGATGGTCATGATGGGAACCAGCTTTTGTTTGCTCTCCTCATTGGAGATGAAGCCGCTTTCCAGCTAAAGAGAGCAGAAAATCCAGTCAACTCCTCCCCAGGGGATTAAGGGCTAAAGGAACCACACCTTGCATCCCATCATCCCTTAAACTTCAAGTGACACCACCACAATCCCCTCCTCGCTGTAAACCTGGCCTTGACCCCAGCAATGTCCAGGGATCCACAACATGTGCCAGGACACCAGTGACCCTGCAGGGCAGGTGGTGAGGCTGCCAGTGTCCCCCCGGGCCTCACCTCCAGGGTGGTGAGGTAGCCAGCCAGCTTCTTCACGATGGGCTCCAGGGCACAGGCCTTGGCTCTGGCATCACACACGAAGCCCAGGTTGAAGAGCAGGGCATTTCGGCTGTATTTCTTGTGCTCAATACAGACAGGGCAGCCAATCAGCTTCTTCTCCATGGCTGTGCTGCACGAGACAAAGGTAACCTGCACCTACACCCCCAGGCAGACCTGAGCCCAGCACAAGGCCCGTTCCCAGGCAGCTCTGGAGGTGAGGGTTCTCTGCTTCACTGGAAAAACTACGTCTAATTCCCAAACGCTCCGAGTGCAACACACAAAGCCTGAACAACAGGAGGAAAAAACTAGTCAGCCACCAGAGAAGAAAAGCAGTCTCCTCTCAAGTCTCATATGACTTCCCAGGCTCAGAGTCTGACAGAGAACCACACGTAGTACCAACCACCCCCAGAACCCGGTAGGAAAGCCCCCCGCGCGGGTAACTGCAGGCAGTGCCAGGGACCCGCTGGGGCAGCAGGCCTGGGCCCGGCACTGTCACGTCTGCTGCTGGAGACCTGCCCCGCGGTGGCAGGGACAGCGGGTAACCCCGCAGGGTGACCTGCCGACACTCACACGGTGATCAGCTTGTTCTGCAGCTCGGGCTTCGTGATGACGTACACCTGGATGGTGTCGAAGAGCTCCCGAGAGATGAAGTCCTCCGGGACCTGCAGCGGCACAGAAGGCCCCGCTGCAGCCTCGGCCCCCCAGGCCCCTTCCTAGTTCTCCCCAAGGGCGCCCCTGGGCCCGGGCCCAGCCCCAGCTCCCGCCAGGGCCACAGGAGCCGCCCACACACCT